GTGTGTGTGTGTGTGTGTGTGTGTGTGTGTGTGTGTGTGTGTGTGTGCGCGCGCGTGCGCTCACTTTGTGCCTTCAAGGTGTTGTGAGTGCAGATCCAGGGAGTGCAGATGCAGGTGCTCGTCGGCACATTAGTGGTGTTTGTTGTGAAACAACGCAAACATTCCCAGCTGTTCCCAGAAGGCATTACTCGTTCATGACCGCATGAAGCTGCTCGCTTTGTGTGCTGAGGTAAGACGTCCACAATGTCCTGATGATTCTTGACCTTTTTCTTTGCTCTCGAGAGTCACTAAAGCTGAGACAGACCCCATCAAAGCAAGACGTCTACATTCATTTTGAAACTGTTACGACAAGAGGGCAGATGAGCATTATGAAAGTCATACCACTGAACTTTGGCAGCCTTTGTTGCCTCTTGACCCACCGTGACATTTGACTCCGTCGTGACTCGTGTATCAGAACGTGCAAGTTTCTGGAGCGGTTTAGAGCGAACGCCATGCAGGTGGAGCAGGTGCCTCACTTCCCGTTTGTTCTGCAATCAGACATTCTTGTTTATAAGCTAGGATGCAAGTCGAGTGGGAGGGAAGATGGTGTAACGTGAGACACGTTAGCATTGATATACTCTGATTAGAAGGAGCAAAGTGAAAAGGCAGAAGTAGTGTTTTTCAGAATAGCGTGCAGATTAATAAAGACTGTTTGGGATGATCGTTGGTTGAGGATTTCACATTTACAACGTTACTCTTATTGTGTATTTCTGTGTGAACCACAGACGTCCTAAAATGCTGACTAAACACCAAACACTTCTTGTCTATGAACTGTGCATTACAAATGAGCAAGGCATGGCGTTTATTGATCGTTTATTATGTTCTGATACAGGCACACGTGAGAGTTCACGTCCTCGGGTGACGTAACTTGTAGTCTACCTGTTGCTCAGTCCACTAGCTATTCAATTGTCCAGTAAGTGTTCCCTTCGGATTAGCAAGACTTTTTTTGTTGTTTTTGGTGGAAATCCGTCACTGTGAAGTCCTCAGGTCCTCTCACAGCTCTGGTCCGGTACGAAATTTAATGACTTGGG